GGGTTTGTTGTAAACTGATTTTTGTTAAAAAAGTAAGATTTTGAATTCAAATAACTGTGCCATGTAACACCATAATTTGTTAACACCTTTGTGTTGTTTTCCACTGCACATACCTTGCTCTAGGATTGCTAGATTACCGTATTTTATTGGATACACACATATGAGGATGTTATGTCTTGGAGAATTGTCATTAAAAATATCTCAACTATTCACTTGTGGTTTTATCCATTATTATTCAAGGATAAACCTTTTATTTATGAGCACATTTTCAACAAGAGTGCCCCCCTGTTAATCCCAGAATAAAATGCATGAGTCACACATGAACACAAAATAAGGTTTTCTAATTGTATTTGTATTTTTTAAATGCTTCCTGAAAAAAAACAAAAAAAAAAAACAAAAACAAAAGCAATCAAAAATACACAACATGATTAGTGGAAATATATACAAACCTATAGCATTGGTGAGATATAAGAGATGCTTCATTTATTGCTTCTCTCAGTTTACCTCCATCCATATGATTAGATTAGATAAAAAGGTAAATGTAACAGAAAATGCAATTCCATCTATAAAACCTGGATAGATTTGTGGGGTATTGATTTGTCATTAATTAAGTTATATATTTCAAGCAAGGCGACAGTATGATTGGCAAGGGGTGGTTTGACTTGAGGATTAAATAAAGTGGAGCATTTGAAACCAATTTGCTTTAGAAAGGGAGAATGAGAATGACCGAATTTATCAAATGAAAATGAACAGCAACATTAAAATGATATAAATGGTGGAGATTGGGAAAATATGTGATTTTCTGACAGAGATAGACAGAATAAAGGCAATCTTAAATCTTCACATAGTTTCAACCATTTTAGGTCACACTATTATAGCAAGAATTATTATATTGCTACAATAACATATTACAATACCTATAGAAACATAATGTTAATTGACATTATGGCCAAACAAACTACTACAGTACTCTATATGTATCTATTATTTGTTTATGCAGCTTTACAGGATGTAGCAAATACTTATAGGTTATGCTACTGACAGAGGGATATTTAATTAGATAAACCAGAATTAAAAGGAGCAGAGATCACTGTCCATGGGCAATATATATATATACACACACACACATATATACACATATATATATATATATATATATATATATATATATATATATACACACATATATATATACACACACATATATATATACACATATATATATATATATATACACACATATATATAAATACACATATATATATATACATACACTGGACAAAATTATGAACGCAACACTTTTGTTTTTCATGAGCTGAACTCAAAGATCTAAGACTTTTTCTACGTACACAAAAGGCCTATTTCTCTCAAATATTGTTCAGAAATCTGTGTAAATCTATGTTAGTGAGCACTTCTCCTTTGTCGAGATAATCCATCCACCTCACAGGTGTGGCATATGAAGATGCTGATTAGACAGCATGATTATTGCACAGGTGTGCCTTAGGCTTGCCACAATAATAGGTCAATCTAAAATGTGCAGTTTTACTATATTGGGTGGGTATCTGGTGTGACCACCATTTGCCTTATGCAGTGCAACACATCTTCGTATAGACTTGATCAGGGCATTAATTGTGGCCTGTGGGATGTTTGTCCACTCCTCTTCAATGGCTGTTCGAAGTTGCTGGATATTGGCAGGACCTGGAACACATGCTGCCGTATACGCTGATCAAGAGCATCCCAAACATGCTCAATGAGTGACATGTCCGGTGAGTATGCTGGCCATGCAAGAACTGAGATGTTTTCAGCTTCCATGAATTGTGTACAGATCCTGGCAACATGGGGCCGTGCATTATCATTGTCAGGATTACTGATTGATTCAGCATGTAGAATTGTATCACACCTAAGACTAAAAGGTAACGGACTTACCGTACCAAAGAATATTCAGGATACTTGCCGAGTTCAGGGACACAGAATGGGACGCAACGATAAGGGAAAGCCAAAAGTCAGGGATACCAGAGTACAGGGAAGTCAAACAAAGCCAAAGTCAATAACCAGTAATAAATGGTCAGGAACACACTCTCGGACAACCACTAGCGGAAACCATGACAGGGCAATGAGGAAAAGTAAAACTGAGTTTAAATAAGCCCTTTACAAATTTGTTTGGCCGAAATCGGCCTTTGACCCCAGAATGTGCATGCACATCTCCCGCGTGATGTCACACGGACGCCAACGTTGTCATTAACGTGGGTGGACGTGGGTTTATAATAAGGCGTGGATCTGCAGCGGCCAGCGTTCATTAAAATGTTGCAGGAGTCAGTGATACAGACGCACAGCCGCTGAGTGCAAATACTGCAAGGTGAGAGGAAATATGTTACAATCATGCTGCAACATGAGGTGATGGTCATGGATGAATGGCACAACAATTGGCCCCAGGATATCATCATGATATCGCTGTGCATTCAAAATGCCATCAATAAAATGCACCTGTGTTCATTGTCCATAACATACGCATACCGATACCATAACCCCACCTCCACCATGGGCCACTCGATCCACAACGTTGACATCGGCAAACCGCTCATCCACACAACGCCATACACACTGTCTGCCATCTGCCTTGTACAGTAAAAACCATGATTCATCCGTGAAGAGAACACCTCTCCAAAGTACCAGATGCCATCGAATGTGAGTATTTACCCACTCAAATCGGTTACTACGACAAACTGCAGTCAGGTTGAGACCCCGATGAGGATGACAAGCAAGCAGATGAGCTTCCCTTAGATGGTTCCTGACAGTTTGTGCAGAAATTCTTTGGTTATACAAACCGATTGCAACAGCTGTCTGGGTGGCTGGTCTCAGACATTCTTGGAGGTGAAAATGCTGGATGTGGAGGTCTGGTGTGGTTACACGTGGTCTGCGGTTGTGAGGCCGGGTGGATGTACTGCCAAATTCTCTGAAACGCCTATGGAGACAGCTTATTGTAGAGAAATTAACATTCAATTCATGGGCAACAGTTCTGGTGGACATTCCTGCAGTCAAAATGCCAAAAGTACGCTCCGTCAAAACTTGCGACATCTGTGGCATTGTGCTGTGTGATAAAACTGCGCATTTTAGAATGGCCTTTTATTGTGGCCAGCCTAAGGCACATCTTTGCAATAATAATGCTGTCTAATCAGCATCTTGATATGCCACACCTGTGAAGTGGATGGATTATCTCAGCAAAGGAGAAGTGCTCACTAACACAGATTTAGACAGATTTCTGAACAATATTTGAGAGAAATAGGCCTTTTGTGTACATAGAAAACGTCTTAGATCTTTGAGTTCAGCTCATGAAAAATGGGGGCAAAAACAAAAGTGTTTCGTTTATAATTTTGTTCAGTGCATATACAAATTTTAATGTAAGATGGCGCACAAGGATACAATCTAAAGAGACCATTAGCACTGATAAAAGCAGTAGCAGATAAGAAAATATGTTTTTATAACTAAGAACAGGAGGGGCATCATAGAAAAGCTATTACAAGTGTGAGCATATGAAGAATTAATGAACTACTTGGCAGACTTGGAGATTCCTTTTGATTTGGGCATTTTAGCTGATAAGTTACATTCCCAAGCTCAGAGGTGAAATGTATCCAAATCATGAACAACCAAAACAAGGCTAAACATGTTTGCTTTTGGTTGTAATTCTGGATTCCACCAAAAGTGCCAAAAAAAGAGAAGATTGATTGACATTGCTTGTATACACAGATTGAGTAAGCAGTGAGCAACAGAGGGTGAAAAGGAGAAGCAGCAAAAATATATTTAAATAACATATATTAAAAAATATATGATAGGAAAAATGCCCCTATCAGGTACTACAAAATATATATATACATTTAAATATCATATATTAAAAATATATAAATATAACTTTTCTTTTACTGCTCCTCCCATTTTTCTCTCTATCTGCTATTTTTTCTCACTGATCTGTGAGCCAAATGGTGAGAAAATGCACCTGTCAGGGCACTACTATATATATATACTTATTTACATATTTAAATATCATATTAAATTATATATAACATCTAAATATAGATTTGAATTTTTACTGTTCTACCCATTTTTCTTCTCTCTATTGTATTTTTTTTTACTTGATCTGTGAACCAACTAATGGGAAAATGCCTCTTTCAGGGTACTACAATATATATACCTATTATGTATATATTTTTCTGAAGATTATAATTGGCGAGTTCTGCACCCTTTTGGTTAATTTTTTGGTTAAATTTTTTTTTTTCAAGTTTTTGGTACCAAAATTCTGCCGAGCTGAACCGACAGTTAGTCAAAATTCAGACATTCTGAAAAATGGTTCAATTAGACGAATTTTCTTGCAATGCACAAGTCTACTGATTAACAGGCAATGCTGATCTGCAAGGCGGATTTCCCACACACAGAAATTATGATGTTTAAATTAAATTAAAGTGGAGCATGGGTGAATGAGTGGTAGCGGAAGATGAGTTTCCAAAATTATGCTGTAAAAAAATTGTTGCATAATATTTAGTTGAAATAGTATATTTTTCATTTCTCAATCAAGTAGTCCCTGAAGAATTTTATTTCATAGATGAAATAAGTAGGACGTCAGTGGTTTATATTGTTTTTTTGTTTTATTTTATCTGTGGATTATTATGTAGACTTGCTCTCCACTACACGTTTCAAAATGTACATATTGTGCTGCGTTATCTGTGTTATGCTTTTATACTCTATGAATTTGTAATAAACCATTTAAATTGTAATAGAAATATTTCACTATTGTGGCTATATTGTTCCTTTAATTTTATCTGGTCTAGAGGTGTGGAATTAGATAATCAGTGTGACGAACTACCCTTCGCCACTGGCTTCTGGAGGGGCCTGATTGCCAGTCTCCTGCCCCAAGACTATGGGCCCTGCAAAAAGACATGCTAAAAAGTGACTTCCATGGGAAAATGTGCATCTTCCCCTTCCTCTTTTTCCTGTCCTATTGTTCTCCAGCAGGGTGTTATCCTAGGGACACTACCAGACCAGTTGAAACTGGCTGCTTTGTCCCTCCTCAATCTCTCATCAGCCCTTGCTATTGTCTGACCCCACCCTTCCTTGTACTATAGGGCACTTTTAACATTGGACATATTGAGCGCTCAGATCCAAGCTATCTGGGGATATGTTGGACATATAGGTTAAACATTGTATTATAAGAGTTATGTATTTTTATGTGGTTTTTGTAACAGTTTTTGACTTAGAGATATTTCCTGTACATGGAGATAATTAAGTTACCACACCCACTTAAGCCATTTATCTTCATGATAGAGGAGAAGATAGACTGGCCACACAGCCTTAACCTGTGGAACTATTTTGGGCATAAAAACCATGCTTGCAGTCGGTCAAATGTAACTTCCACAAAACTTTTGAACCCCTGCTCTGATCTGGGTGATTTTTGAATATGTGGTGTTTTGGGGTGTTTTATGTATTTTGTGAAAAATTTGTTTTTTGCCTGTGGGTAATTGGGTTAGTCCATTGTGTTTGGTAATTGTATCACAGGCAGAGGGGAGGGTTTGTGTACATTATCTGGGAGTGCCAAACTGTACAAGAGTGTTTTGATTGGCTTTGTAACTTTGTGTCCTGTGCTCCACAAGGTCCACATGGGTGGTAACCTTGTGGGAAAACTTGTATAAAAGAGACAATAAATGCTCAGTTCATTCTGTTCTGCTTAACCCTCAATACGTAGCCTTGTCTTGTTATTGTAGGGAACTGCTATAATCACACTGGGGATTGCTATACTTTGTATACTCTCCTGAGCTCTATTCACTTAGCTCTTTTAAGAGCTGTTCCTGATATGCTCTCCTGGAGGAGAGGTCTTTCCCACACGGTCCTGGATGTCAGAGGTTGATCCAGGGTGGAAGGAAGACAGCGAGACTCTAGTTAAGCTATGGCGGTTACATAGTTACATAGCTGAAAAGAGACTTGCCTCCATCAAGTTCAGCCTTCCTCACATATGTTTTTGCTGTTGATCCAAAAGAAGGCAAAAAACCTAGTCTGTAGCGCTTCCAATTTTGCAACAAACTAGGAAAAATTCCTTCTTGACCCCAAAATAGCAGTCAGATGTCTCTTTGGATCAAGCAGCTATTACCCCACTTAATAGAAATGATATCCCTGTTAGTGATGTCGCGAACCCGAAATTTTCGGTTCGCGAACGGTGAACGTGAACTTCCGCAAATGTTCGCGAACCGGCGAACCGCCCGAAACGCCATTGACTTCAATGGGGAGGCGAATTTTAAAACACACAGGGACTCTTTCTGGCCACAATAGGGATGGAAAAGTTGTTTCAAGGGGACTAACACCTGGACTGTGGCATGCCGGAGGGGGATCCATGGCAAAACTCCCATGGAAAATTACACAGTTGATACAGAGTCTGGTTTTAATCCATAAAGGGCAGAAATCACCTAACATTCCTAAATCACAATCAATATGGATTGACACCTGACATATGACATATTGACACCTTGACATATGGATTGACACCTGTCCTCAGAGCCCCTGATGCACACGGACACAGAGCAGAATAGAGACTGGTCCCCCTACATAGGGTCACTTGGCAGATATGGATTGACACCTGTCCTAAGGTTCCCTGATACACACTGACACAGAGCAGAATAGGGACTGTTCCCCCTACATCGGGTCACTTGGCAGATATGGATTGACACCTTGTTACAAACTGCTATTTGTAACGGGCCCTTTAAATGGCAAATTGCCCTGCTTCCCTGGGTTGTGGAGAAGCCTATTTGCCAGCCTCCTCCCGCATGACTATGGCCCCTGGGAGATTGTGAAAATGTATGCACTTTTATTTGGTGTGTATGGCCCTTTAAGACTGTCGGTGGGCATATTGGGGCTTATGGACTCTTTATGTGACTGGTGCTGGCCCTTTAAACACCTTTTTTGGGACATCAGGAAGATTGGGACACTGCCCCTTTAAGGCCGTGTCCCCAGACTTGTTGGGGACACGGCCCCTTTAAGACGGTGTCCCCTGTGTCCCCAGACCTGGTGCAAACCCTTTGTGCCTGCCTTGCTATTTCCCACTTGGTTCAGTAAATGGGAAATTATTTCAGCTGCAGAGACTAAGTCCCATTCGGCGATGGGACTTAGTCGTTTTTTCAGCCTGAAATAGACCGACCTCACAGCCCAAATCTATGGAACTGTTTTGGGCAGGAAAATGTGCTTGCCGTCGGTCATAAAGGGACCTCCAGCTAACTTTTTAACCCCTGGATGGATTTGGCTGATTTTTGGTTATGTTTATGTTTTAAGTGTGCTGATTCCAAATATGTAATTATGAAGATGGGATGTGTAGTTTTTAAAGTTACAGGGTATGGCTAAAAACTGTATTTTTACTGCCTGTGTTTAATTATGTTAATCTCTTCCCAAACGTCATTTCGTTCAAAGTGGAGAGAATGTTAAAAAATATATTTTTGTTGGAGTGTGAGAAATGCTTTTCAGCCGCTTCTAATCTTAAGCATCATTTGAGGAGCCATACAGGAGAGAAACCTTATTTGTGGTGTGTTTAGTATTGTTCTGATCAGTTTAATACCTTCCGCGTCTCCTATCAGTGGACGTGTATATGGCAGCCATTTTAGGAACCGTACACCTGGGACCCGAGCAAGGTCACCTCGTTCAACAGGCGACAACATTTGTCCCTGGAAAACTATCCTGGACATTCTGTACAATTTGTATGGATATGGCAGTGATTTCTGTAACAGGGAGATGGAAGAAGATGCTTGGTCGGTCCTCTTAATTCAAATTTGGGGCACCGCGCCGGTCAAGCTAATGTGCCACCAGATAGGAGTGGTGTGTTTAGTATTGTCTCCGATCAGCTTAATACCTCCTGCTCCTATCAGTGGTCGTGTACACGCAAGTACTGATTTTGTAACAGGGAGATGGAAGAAGAGGCTTGGTCGGGTCCTCTACTGCAAATTTGGGGCACCGCGCCGTCAAGCTAATGTGACACCAGATAGGAGTGGAGTGTTTAGTACTATTTTATCAGTTTAATACCTTTCCATGCCTCCCATCAGTGGTCCTGATACACACTGACTACAGAGCAGAATAGGAATGTTACCCCAACATCGGTCACTTGGCAGATATGGATTTCCACAAATCTCGTCCTCAGGAGCCCTGATACACACCCGACACAGATCAGAATAGGGAATGTTACCCCAACATAGGTCACTTGGCAGATATGGATTGACACCTGTCCTCAGGAGCCCTGATACACACTGACACAGAGCAGAATAGGGAATGTTACCCCAACATCGGGTCACTTGGCAGATATGGATTGACACCTGTCCTAAGGATCCCTGATACACACTGACACAGATCAGAATAGGGAATGTTGCCCCAACATCGGGTCACTTGGCAGATATGGATTGACACCCGTCCTAAGGATCCCTGATACACACTGACACAGATCAGAATAGGGAATGTTACCCCAACA